ATCTATCTGACAATATCCTGACTTTGAAGAATGTTTTTTTCCCAAAACTTTAAACTTTAAATCAGTGAACGTAAATAAATAGTACAGTATCGTAGTGTACTGCTTATGTGCGAAACTACGTTCGTGAAAAGAACACTAAAGAGAATATTAAAAATTTTACATAGGATGTGGGGAACAGTACACTATAATTTTAGAGTTTGTGTTAATGAACACTTCATTTAGTGTACTGTTTGCGTAGTGCACTAACATAGTGTACAAAATAGTACACTATGTTTGGTACTTTAGAGCTTGTGTTCGTTCACTGCTTCAAATATTGGACTAGGTGCAACTTTTTCAAAGAGAAGTACAAATTTTGTTTGCAAGCAGATCATTATTATTTTTTTTATCTTCCTCGGTACATTCAGATATGAATACGAAGTATATATCTTTTAAAGTCAACTACTTTTTATTTATACCAATATATCTATATATATACCTGCACCAATCAATTTTGTTTTCCATATGTATAAGTTTTGTTTCTTTGAAATCAAGCATTAGTTGTAAATTTTGGATAAAAAAAATAGTTCTAGTATCGTTACCACAAAGGGTGTGTACTGTCGTGGTTGTTGTAGTCTAGTTTCTTGCGCATAAAAGCTTACAGTTTCCGCATACCAATAAGAATCCCTTAGGCACAAAAGTTATTACTGACTATAAATTGATATGTTTTGAAAACCACTTGTGCTTCCTTTAATGCGCTACTCGCACGAAAGTTTTTTACTTTAAAACATATTTTTACAGATGTATCAAATTGCACCCCTCAGATACTTTTACAATCATTATGCGCATAAACACATTGAAATTCTTAAACAATGACATCTCTTGCGGAATGGTTTACGAATACTAACACTAAGGCGAAGGCTAATGCGAGCACGATTATAAGCACTCAACCAAAGCTTAACACGTCGACAAGATATGCAACTGAATAATTTTTAAAAAGTCAGCTCACGTATGAAAATAGTATTTTGATATACAGTATATAATGGGATTTGTTTATTGCTATTATTTGCAAAAGTTTTCGCTACTCGCAATCCAGATTCAGACTGCGAACACATAGGGAACGCACCAGACCGAAACATTGAAGTCACAGACAGACTACTGTGGCATCAGCCGCACTAGGAACGCGAACATCAGCAGTTACTACAAACTTTCAAAAGTTTTTTTTATTGTATTAGTTTCTTCATAAAATCTTATATTAAATTTTTGGGGAAACCTACTCGAAAGGTGTAAATACGTTGGGATTTTAGATATGCCTTCACGAAACAGCACAACTTTTATTGTTTCATGCGCTACCAGGAACCAGAAAGAGTATCAAAAATCGAAGCTAAAGTAGGGTTAATCCCGTGCATCGTCATTGTAGCCATCATTGTCATCATGTATGCCAAACGGCAAACGTGATGCTTTAATGTAGTATAGACATCTCTAAATAAGAAAAAATAGACGACTTTGGCTGTCTACAAAATTTCAGTACCATGTACCAGCTTAATCACATTTTTTTGGCGTTAAGCTTGATATATATTGTTCATTTGATACATCAGATCATTTTTAAAGGTTATTTTAAATAAGTGCAGCATTCTTTGGTCAAGTCATAATTTGCAATAAACCGTTCTGCAAACTATCGTCCCATAACTTCAACAAATAATAGGTTATTTTCTTATTAAAGAGTTGAAGAAATGGACATACCCAAGTGAACATATATATATATATATATATATATATATATACTAGATGGATTGATAATTCACAACAGGTGGCAATGCCAGAACAAAATCAATAATATTTTGTGTAACTGGTAAGTTTTAAATGACAGCTGTAAAAGTTTCAACTTCAACAGATATTTGATTAGCTTTCTGCAAATAATTCAAATAATTCACCTCGGTAATTTTATATAAATCCCTAGTACTCCTTCCTCTGACCTTTTGTTAGACAAGACCCACAAGTCTCTCCAATATCTCATCTTATATTTTGGTAAGAAGCATTCAGATGTCTTCACCACTTTCCTTTATAACGGTGGCTTTTGTGACACTGTTCACATAATCTATAACTAACTTACTCCTGCGCTTACGCCATAATCTCATCACCTCTATCTACCATCTTTTCTCCTATATGACGTTTATAAAATGAAGTTTCTGATATTAAAGTTTCAGATATTGAAGTTTCAGATATTGAAGTTTCAGATATTGAAGTTTCAGATATTGAACTTTCAGATATTAAAGTTTCAGATATTGAAGTTTCAGATATTGAAGTATCAGATATTGAAGTTTCACATATTGAAGTTTCAGATATTGAAGGTTCAGATATTGAAGTTTCAGATATTGAAGTTTCAGATATTGAAGTTTAAGATATTAAAGTTCCAGATATTGAAGTTTCAGATATTGAAGTTTCAGATATTAAAGTTTCAGATATTAAATTTTAATTTGATCAAAGTTTTAGATATTGAAGTTTCAGATGTTGAAATGAAATTTTCATTAACTATAGTTTATGGGCATACTGTAGACGTCTGAAGATAAATGTAAAAATTTTGTTCTTTTGTAACCGATTTGCTTGAATTTTCATATATAACAAATTATATACTTATAAAGAAATGTTATTTTATTATTACTTATAAGCTCTTTTCTTAAAATATGTTAGCTTCATTGAAAGTCACATTTTGCATAAATTTTCAGTGTATTTTTGGGATCTGAAATAGGGGCGTAAAATAATTTTTAGCTTTTTGTAAAGCTTTAACATTTTAATGCTAGTAAGAAAAATGCTATAAAAAATCAGCTATGTGAGTTAGTGATGGAAATCTTTTCCATTCATCCCTAAGAGGTGGTCTAAGTGGGTTAAAATCTTACAAATTGGGTATCGGTGCTTTCCATCTACTGCTAAAAGGTATATAAAAAGACGATATTAATTAAATACTTACACATGCATTTATATTATTAAAATTGCATTACGAAATCATATTGGATAATTTAATAAATTCATTAATTCAATAGGTCACCTAGAGTCCTTCAATTTTTACTAATGAAAAATACTCTCAAGAACTTTATATATCACTTCAAGCAAATGAAAAAAAATGGTATAAGGGAGATATCTAGACAAGACCGAATAACAAAAACAATAATTTTTTACCAAATATCTTTACTAGTCATAAATTACATATTGCTATTCTCCAATTCATATCCATTCCACGTGGACACTGGTTATGCCTTACCGTTTATATTTTCTCTACCATAAATGGCTAGTGATGGCTCAGTATGTGCATGTCGTAATATAAAATAAACAGGTCTGTCATAATTTAGTACTTATGCTGGATTTTTTGCATTTGACACTTAAAAATTTTGAGTTTATTTTAATATTTAAATAATAGCAAAATAAATTAAACATGTATAATATTGCCATTTTAAGTATTTTATTTATATAAAAAATAATATGCCAACTTAAGGTTTGTCCAGGTGCAGAGCATGTCGCACAGCGTGCTATACGACAGATGTCTGCTTCTATAAAGACATGCAAATGGTTAGTGGAAATGTGGGGTTATGATAGTGCATCGAAACTCATTTCTAATTAGTTAAGAGAAGTCTGCAAAGTTTAGACTGAAGTATGCAAAATCCGAACTTGTCTGCTGGTATGTTGCGTTGACACTTTTGGTAGAAAATATTACCAAATATATATATTTAGGATTTTCATTTATGAATACTCCGTAGGAATGTTGAGGTAAAGGTAAGCATGTTGTCAACCTACCCTTCCAAAGTATCGCCTGAACATGTACGAATATTTATCCTAACGTAATCATATTTATTGCCCCATTTTTGTTTTCTTTCTTTGTATTTAACGTAATTTTTTTTTATTTTTTATTGTTATTGTTACTTTTAATATTTTCCATAGCTGAACTTTGTACCTTAACTGAAAAGCTGCATGTGTCAACGCAACAGGGAGGCGTACCAAAATTGTTAGCGTTTTATAGTCTACGGAGTAACGTCTAAGTCGTTGTAATCAGCATTGTCTTCGATGTCAGTTTTGGGTAAATCTGCTTTGAATTATTACCGCAATTATCGTTGCTCTCACCATGCAGCGTGTGTACGCAATGGCAGTACACCGTTGATGACTATGCTGATCCGACGATTATGAATTCATTCGTTTATCTTTATATCTTAGTTTTGCGTCGAGTTGCTGTTACAAAGATTTTCTTTAACTTAGATTCCTGTTGTGCTCATTTCCACGGCTTGAGGAAGTGATTGATGGCTTGGTCGCCACAATTCCACTTTTAAATGGTTGCCATGCATGTGACAAAGCACTTATGAAGGGTGAGATTTTGAGATTTTAGATTTTATAAGAAAAATTAAATCTATTGAAGTTATAGTAAAATTCATAAAGATGGTTATATTGCAAAGAAAATTGCAAGGACCAGAAATGTTTATGGATTCGATTTTACGACATATGTGCCCAGCAGCTGATTTAAATGAAAGTCAATCTGGAAATCTAATTATCGAGTACTTCTTTTGAACAGTTTATGCCATAAAGCGGAAAACAACTCTACGTATGATAGCTGTCAAGTGATCTTATATTCCTGGTTGAATAGAAAAATCTATAGGTATATGTAATCCAAAAGGGTAATATATAAAACCATTAAAATGTAAAATGCCCTTAAAATTAGTCGATAATAATTTGGTCTTTTTTGACCCAGTAGAGATATTGAAATGAAATTTTCAAGAAACAAGTCAGCTTTCAAAGAGAATTTTTTTAAATAAAAAACTTTTCCGGATTCAGGAAGTTCATGATCTAGACATTTATTTGGAATAGTAGCTATTGGCCAGGCTATATATATATGTCTTTAGTTATAGTATTTTATATAAGCCATAGTTATTAAAAAGAACTATCTTTAAGAAGACTAATAATTTAATTAACATTTAAATGTTCTTATCCTCAAATATTAATTCTTGAGTTCGTAGTTAAATTTATTTATATTTAAACTCGCAAAGAAACACTTTATTGAACAGATCTTACATTTCTATAACTAACTATTAAATCGAATATAAATAATATTAATTTTTTGATGAGTATGAAGAATGGTGTTTGTAAATTAAATGAAGGCTTCGTTGTTATTAAGCATCTCAATCACCATTTTTGTATGGCATTGTTGAAGAGTATTTCTTTTGTCAACACCACATCCAATTATTTTAAAGGTCTAATAGCTGAACCTTGACTTGGGTAACGTAATCCAAATGGTGTAACCTTAGGCAATGGCTTACTGTTAACCTTTTTACTCAGCTCAGCTAATTCCTATTAAAAAAAATTTCGTATGTATTTAAATTGCAAATGTGGGTGTGATCTATATAGAGATTCTTCGATTATGAGTTGCAAAAATACTCAATTGATGTCAAGAAGAAAATATGTGGAAGAACAGTAATGCCTTAAAAATTTGAATACCTTGTCTTCTCTAGCAAAAGTTATTTAGACTTGAGTTTTAATGTGGTGGAACTAAAACTATGCCTTTTTGAGTTTATTAGCAATATTTTAAAATTTTCTTTTAAGAAAAGTAGGAAAAATAATATGTAATAAAATATAATCATTTTCAATTTGCTTAAACTTAAAATTGTCATGCCAATTATTTTCTTCCAGATTTAATTTATTTTTTCGCAACTCTTAATCGAACAATCAAGTGCATAATAAAGTGTGTTCTTACCTTGTTTGAAGGTGGTGCGCGCATAGAATCCTCATCCAGCTTGATTGCAGCCGATATATCACTTTCACTCACACAAGCCCTGTCAAAATGTTCAGCAATATCTCTAGCTTTAAACAGAACTCGTTTAACAAGATCTATGTTTCGTAAGATACACAAACATTATTAAAAGTAACTACTGAATATAATTTTAAATGTATTCACCTTGATATACGACACCAATGTAATTTACCACATCATCATCATATTTTATGTCAACCTCATCCAATAAACGCCTAATTACTTGTTCATCAGTATCTGCCCCGTCCATTTTCTTTAGAAAGAAGATTGAGAATATTTGTGAAAGTTTAAATAGGAAGTATAATTTGTAATGCGATAAAATAGAAACTTTTTATACATTATTTTTTTCTAATAATGAATTTGTTCTTTTGAAATTACCCGCTAAACACTATACTCATATAACCCTATGGCTCCCTGGAACGTGGAGCCCGACTGATTGAACTAAATACCGTTGGTAAACTTTTTTAGGTTTAAATTATTGTGTCCACAAATTATATGATATACATTTATTACAAAGCGCATTAGATTTATAAGCGGTCCACAATTGTCCCTATTATTGGTGGATTCAGCTTTTGAATCCACCGCAAAAAAAGATATATCCAACACTCACACACTTTATTTAATTCATGAAGCGCGGATCAATATTTGCTTGTAAAAATTGTCTAATATATTTATTGTGATCAGTATATATATCTTAGCAAGTAACAATTTAAGCAATTAAAATATATCTATGGAATAACTTAGAAATGCAAAATAACTTTAACATATTCTAACAAAGATTTAGAAATTTTGACCAACCTTTTGCTAAAATTATGGTCCAAAGTGGAAGTAGAAACACTTTCACTAAAAAATCACAATCAACGAAATGACCAACTTCTAATTGTTAAAATATGTGTTAAATATTATTCTGTAAAAATTTACTTGACAGCAATAAAAGAGTGTTCAAAAGCGTTTTTATTATAATGTTTAATAACACTTGTTTCTACAGTGTTGTGTAGATAATATATATGGCGAACATATTACAGATATTAGTGCCATCTATTAGGATAGACAATATGATTAGCAGCTAAATTAACAAGCAACTATAAAAATACCTGTGTTTTGGGAAAATTTTTAATTTTTTTAGGAAATGAATACCTATATGGTTTTTAGAACTTGCATTTTAGACCAATTTTTAAATGGCTATAAATCAAGCTCTATAAATGTGGCAGAACAAACAGTTTTTACATTTTAAAGATAATAGATTAAACTTTTTAAAAATTATGTAAAGAAATAAAATAATCGAAACAACGTTGTATGATCAGTCAAATTTCAATAAATTAACTAAAAATTTTGTTGCTGTCTTTTCATTTCTATTCGAACCTTTCTAATTTTGAAATAGTTTTTTTTCATTATAAGACGTGTCACTTGTGACTTTGAAATAATTTTGTTAACAATAAAATATAATTAATAATCATAACTTTGTATTATTTTTATTTCATATACACGCAGAGAGAGTAAACTATTGACATCAGTAAAGAGGAACTTTATATTCATCATTCCTGAGATTTACAAATAATAGTCATTTCTGCTGAAAGAAAGGCTATGTTACTCTATACAGGAGTATATCTATAAAAGAGACTTACTTTTGTGGTTATAATATAAGAGTTGTTTATGTTATGCAGACGGTTATGGTCACGTCAAAAGTTGTTGTTTTAAATGTAAATTGAAAATTTCATATAAGAACCATAGAAAAATTCCAGTAAAATTTTGCCACGCTGACGTTTTGTGTCTCGTCACCTTGGTTAAAATAGTCTTAGTCAGTCATGACTGCTAGGATTTATAGCTTTTAGCAGGAAATCTGCACATTTTCCGTAAATAAACTTACATATATATACAAAAATTTTATCTAAAATTAAGATACACTAAAAAGTATCAAAATAGTACTAACGGTATGAAATTGAAAATTCTGATTTGGCTCTTTAACATTATAATTTGTCATAAAAATGCTTCACATGTGCTTAAGTAATAGGTTATTTCACTACAGATAATCGCAAAAGAATGCCAATTTCTAAGTAATTAGGATTTGTCTGTAAATAGTTCTTAAAAACCACAGTGGAGTTATGTATTCCACTTCAGTTGGAACTCAACTGCTCCATAATTGTTCAAACGCTAAGTCTATCCGAATAATTCAAGCATAATTTATGGTCTGCAAATACTACCAGTATCTCTTTGTGTAGAGATTACATTCCGGCTGATAAAAAAAATTTCCAATCAATTTAAAGAGGCTGTTTAAAATATAATTTCTGGATGTGAACTCTATAGGTGCAGAAATACTCGTATTTTAATGTACATGCGGCAATAGCCGTTAATTCACCGAACCGGTGTCCCCTTTCAATATATCAAAAGCTTACAATAAATTGGATTTAAATTCTTAAATCCTTTCTTTGCACGAATATTTTCTATTTGTGTTTATTTTGAAAAAAAGATTAAAGCAAAAAAATGGTAAAATACCTCTCACCCAACGTCAAACTATCACGTGCTGCAAATAAATTCACACACGGTCATTTGCGCAAAGGATTAAAGGTCTCGCCGGATTTTTGCTTTCGGTTTTTTAATGCCGTTTTTATTTTATTTTAAGTGTGCTTTTCAAAGGACACCTAACGAATTCAAGCTGAAAAGTGATTAACTCAAAAGCCTTTGCATTCCGAAACAATTTTCGTAAAGTCACATTTAAAAATGTACCAAATTTTACTGAATTTTGCGAATAGTATGATTTGGTCCTGCTAGGATTCCCATAAATATGCCACACAACACAATTCCATACTTCCTGTTTTTTTGTCTAGGTGCGGATTCTGTTGGCATTAACTCGCTTTACTCTAAATGAATCAGTTCATTTACCTGCACAAGTGAATGATTTTTAATTCTCCGACTAACTGAAAAGAAAATAATCCAAAAAGTTTTCATGTTTCAATGCCTGAGTATATTTTATCTTAGTCAAGCTGCTTAGAGTAACGCACCAAATTTTATAGCTCTTACGATTGGTTACACAAATAAAATCAGGCGGACTAGATTGGATACGAGTATACATTTTGAAACCCATTTAAAACTTTGTGAAATAGCTGAATGACATAAAGGTATTGAGCTGATTTTTTGGAGGAGAATTTTTTTTGGAAATTCATTGTCAAGATAAAGAATTGAATTGTTATCATAGCACATACTCATAGTAAGTAAAGAATTCATTTATATAAGGCGCTTTTAGGTGATTTACACCTCACCTCAATTGAGTTTTTAATCTCCAACTATTGGTGCTGACATTAGAGTTGCCACACATTTTTATGTTATTTAAATAAGCACATCTAATAAAAAACTATTAAAGGAAGATATTCTTACCAAGATACTGGAGCAGACTTTGTTATTTACTACACTGTTGGATTTGATTTTTAGTGTCATCAATTATTTAAAATAATTAGATCGGTTTACGAGAAATTTAAAAAACTTTAGAAAAATGTATTCCCTTTAGAAAAATGAATTTACCTAAAAGATGCCTATTAATTTTCATTTTAAAAATTCGGTGCGATGGATTTTTATCCCAGATAATAATTAAGTGTAATGTGAAACATTGTTCATACACTTTTACCATCCATATAAAGAACATAGTAATGAACGGAAGCATATGGGTTAATAGCTCCATAAAAATCTGACTAAATTATAATTTCATGAGAGCTATTCTTCTATAGAAAAATATGGTATACTCTCCTATAGAAGAGTATACCAATTTAGACTCTTCTATAGGATTTAGACGATAGAACAAAGAGAAGGACGTTTATGCAGTTTTAATAATAGTAACTTATAATCGTAATCCTGAGGATGACTCTCTAGGAAAGTCGAAGTATAGAATTTAATAAAAAAATATTAAAGTTTTATTATTTAATAAGAAGAGACCTATAGCCAGAATAATCATCCAAAGAAACCATTTTAATTAACAGGTCGAAAAACAAATTTAAAACATTTTATAGAATTATTAAAACTAAATTTAATATTATCGGCACATTTTTTTTTTCCGGAAAAATTATGAACGTTTGTATTTATTTCTGCGGCTCTCCAATTTATTCAATGATTTCTATTGATCCGCGATCTTATCTGGTCTGGACAGCCCTGGTCGAAGGGATAATATCACATCTCATATAGTAGAAATTCATTTTTATTAAGTAAATTATGCGTTAGAGTGGTGATTTGATAAAAAATTTTTTGAGAAGTATAGAATGATTTGATTTCCTCAACATTCTAAGTCTTTAAACCGAAGACATATGTTAAAAAAATTTCCTGAAACTCTAAATATTAAGCAAAGTATACTAAAATAATTCTAAATCCTTTGGAATCGATTTTAAATGGATTAAAATATAACAACCTTTACCATAACGACAGATAGATTTTTGAAGTAAATTAAGTCCATCGTGTAAAAGTCGGTTTGTGAGTTTTAAACACATTTAGATATCCTTTTTATGGAGTTCCAAATCAAGCTCCAATTTTATTCGTCCTCTCCACACCACGTTAGATAAACATAAGCTGGTTTACATGTTGACGCTAATCGATGATAGCAATCTATAGACCTCATATTATAGATGTGAAAGTAGAAATCTTAGATATTAGATATTAAATTTGATTTTACTAATCAAATTATATATAGTGATTTAATATAAGTTAACAATTAGAATATGCAATGCCAGATTTTATTCCTTACTTGCATTATCTTATCGCAAGTAATATGATGTTTTAAGTGTTCATTCATTTCCCAACAAAATCGTTGACAATAAGTCTGTGATTCCCACGTGTAAGTGTTATTTCTTCTTAAAAATAGAATAGAAATCCTTGTTGTACCAAAAAACCTGATTTATGTATTACTAAATTGAGCGCACACTTGCTTTGGCTTTGGTTTTAATTTGCCGATGCTCAATTTTTGATACTTGCAGTCTTAATATTGCATACGGACAATCAAATCAATGGATGTTTCAATAAATATGTTTTCGGACCAAAAACCAAAATAGTTGTACGGTCAGCTCAAAGCTTCTTTTGATTAAAAATTAAATTTTTGGATTAATAAAATTTTTTCACTTTTACCCTCTTTTCTATTTGGAAATAGTTTCCTTGACACAGGACATAAAAATTTTTAATTATATATTACTAATAGAATTATAACTGATATTATAGCCACCCTTACACAATTTTTCAAAAGCACGCTTTGTTCTTATTAACTACTACAATCCATCACAGAGACTGATGATAATGCTGAAAATGCACAGATTCATTCATGAAGAAAAGGATAAGAAGCTAATAAATGATTCCTATAAATGGGCATTTGTTAGATGACTGTCTTTAAAGCCTTTTAAATTAGTAACATGGTACTGACCGTTTATTTGTCTCTTTTTGGCAATGACTGTTTAAGTAGCCCCATGCAAAGCGGGTGTCACATTTTGAAATTCAATTTAATCAAACGCAAAGTTGGGTCAAGCCTACAAATCAATCTCCCCCAAGCATATGTTTTCCCCTGGCGAAACACACACACGCAAACGAAAAAAAATCTATTGTAAATGGGGAAATACAGTGTATTAGAAATTATTGTCCTGCAAATGCAATTGATTAATGCCAAATACGTACAATGTGTCGTTTTTCGTCTATTTTATTGTTTCTCTTCTTCTTGCTATAGGCCGTTTTTCATTACCCCACATTTTAAAGATCATACCAATGTCACCATTACTTGTTTTTCTCGCCTAAAATTAAATTTGTGCGCCTTTAAGGTCATCCAAAGCAGTAGCACCAACTGTTTTCAGTGTCCTTGCTGCTTCCACACAGCAAGGACTTGTGCAATAGTCCTTCTTTGTATTTTTGTCGAGAAAACTTTTCTCG